CCCCCCCGCCCCAGCCCGGCTATTCACCCGCCGCCGGCCGCCTCAATGGGGCTGCGGCCGCCCATATGGTGACCACGGCCGCTGAATCCCCGTGTTTAAATGGGGGAGAAAGTTCGGGTTTTAAAACATTTCAAAGTGGTTGAAAGGGTCCCACCAGACCCTGTCACAATCCCCCCCGAGCTTTGAAGGCCGGGGCCATTGTTCGCCGATTATAAATGATATTACTTTAAAGTTGATTTCCCACAATATTTAAAGGATGTCGCGGGAGCGTCGCTCTTTATTTTTGGCGTAACTTTTCAAGGGAATTAGCATAAGTAGCCCGTGCGTCCCTCGTCCCGTCTCCCCCTTTATGCGACATCAAAACGCCTCGAAAAATATGCTTTGAAAGGAGAGGGAGAGCTAATTTAGGGACGACGACTTCTCCGCCTCGACAGCAAGGTCCGCTTGTCTCGCCCGCCGCGGCCTACGGCGCCCGCAAGGCCCCGCAAAAGCCGGCCGGACCTGGGACGCGTCCTTGCGACCGCCCGAAAGCGGAGCGTGGTGAAACTTTGCCCCTGCTCACTGCCAGAAATTGCATCAAAAGTGGTGGAAATGCCCTAATTAAGAATGTACCGCTTAAATGATATGCCAAACGTTCAGCTGCAGAAGAGCGTATTTAGCTAGTTAGTGAACTCGCTACTATTTCTTTTAAAATTACATGTTAAAATTTTAAAAGAAATCTTACTTTTCTCTGGTGCAACACATTACAAAGAATGGACAGTCCTTTTATCTAAATATAAAATTCCATTTTCAGCAATTATAGCCTGTTCTTGGTGATGATATAATTACAGCTGTGCTCAGTAATAGGTGTCAAGGCAATGCACACTCATACAATAGTTGAATAAAACTGCAGAACAATGCAGGCACTTCTAAATTCACAACCTTTAAAATGAAATTGACTGTGCAGAATTCAAATAAAAACTGGATAAATATTTTTTAAAAAAGATTACAAGCTTGGTTTGGTTTCTTAATAGCATTTTCTGCAAACCTATCAACATCTAATTGATTAGATAGGAATTACTGATTATAGATAATCTGAAATACCGAACAGCACTATTTTAAATATAGCAATAGGTAAATAAATGCAGCAGGCAGAGGAGACTGCCATGGCACTTCGGCAGCGATTCACGGAAAGAATCGCTTTCAGGGGAAAGTATTTTTATGCAGGTTTTATTCCAGAGGAAAAACAAAATGAAATTAAGACCAGGCGATCGCAATGCCTCATCTCCGATGTTTACGATAACGCTGGAAACTGAAATGTTTCCCTGTTACCCGTGTCGTTAGCGCAACCTTGCTTTGATACCCGAGACGTTTTTAAGGGAGGGTGTCAGCAAACATGGCCGAACTTGTTCCCAATCGCGTTATGTCTCTGATAGGGATCTTAAAACAAGGGTACCTGCGTTTCACTTTCCGACTCTCGGTTCTGCAGATGGCTGTCCGCAACAGGAGGGAGGAGGGGAAAACACCAACTCCATCAGCTCTAATGGAGAAGATTCAGATGAGGCCCAAATGAGACTCCAGCTGAAAAGAAAGCTGCAGAGAAATAGGACATCCTTTACTCAAGAGCAAATCGAAGCCCTTGAGAAAGGTGAGTGACATTTTCCTAGGGCTGGAGCAGGAGAGAAGAGCAAAATGTGCCCCGGCTATATTAAGAGCTGAACAGAAGCATGGCATTCACGTGCCTTATGTATATATGGATATTTTTCTAAGTCCGTGGCTCCCTCCGTGCTCCTTTATTCAGTGAGCTCCAAATATTCATCGAGGGCTGTGATATGCACCCAAAAGCCGTTAAAAGCCTTTCAAAGGGAAGGTACTCAGGGCACAGGTCATACCGAAACATCGTTACGCTCTGGGCTGCCCTCACCGGGGACAAATTTCCTCCCGCCGACTGTGCCGCGGCCGGGCCGCGCTGCTGTACGCCGGGAAGGCGAAGGCAGGCAGCTGGGGCTGGCAGAGCCCTCTGTGCCTGGCCCCCCGGTCGCTCCCGTCCCCAGCGCTGCCGCTGCCTGGGGCTTGGGAGCAGGTGCCCTTTTCCCTGGCCGGCCCGGGCGCACCTCGCCTCTGACCCGCTGCGCATCTTTGTTCTTATTTTCTGCTGTTATTCAGCGACGTGCCATTTCGCTTCTTGGTGACAGGGTCAGAGCTGCCTTGGGGACCCCCTCAGCGGAGGCAGAAGCCCTCACTGCTTCTTGAAGGATGCAGCATTGTGCCCAAGCCTGCCTACCCCCTTAGCGATATTCCCCAGCAGGCAAGGCGTCCTCCTTCCTAACACACACACACACACGCAGAGAAAGCCCAGCTTTGCCTATACAGCGATGTTTCTTAAGAGCATTTAGAGCATAGGCAGCGCAGGAACAACTCTGACTTTACGGTCGGCCACATTAAATCTTTGCAAATAATGCAACCCTATTTCCTTCTGCAGAATTTGAGAGGACCCACTATCCCGATGTGTTTGCAAGGGAGAGACTAGCTGCTAAAATAGACCTGCCTGAAGCAAGGATACAGGTACTGAGTTGCTGTGCAATTATGACTATTATTATTTTTGCTATTACTATTCTAGTTTTGTTATTCCTGGCTTCTCAAAGCACAGGGCAGCCCCTATTTACTCTCCTCCTTCAGGAAAGTCATGGCAGCTGGGGTCTGCTTTTGCGCGCTGCTTTGCTGCGCTGCAAGCCAGCTTTCCACCAGCACAGCCTTGAGTTAGGTGGGGGAGGTCCTTGTAAGCTCATTCACGTCTCTCAAACGCTGTATTTTCAGGTGTGGTTTTCTAACAGAAGGGCCAAGTGGAGAAGGGAAGAGAAGCTGAGGAACCAGCGGAGACAAGCCAGCAACACTCCCAGCCACATTCCCATCAGTAGTAGTTTCAGCACAAGCGTTTACCAGCCGATCCCGCAACCGACCACCCCCGGTAATGCCACCAACCCGCTCACGTTCCTCCATCCTCTTGGGAAAATGAGACTCTGAGACTGTGTCGCCAATTGTAATGGTGTTTAAACTAATGTGTTCGTCTATCTGTCTATTCTATTATAGTTTCCTCTTTCACATCAGGTTCCATGTTGGGCAGAACGGACACGGCGCTCACAAACACGTACAGCGCGCTGCCGCCCATGCCTAGTTTCACCATGGCCAACAACCTGCCTATGCAAGTAAGTCCGGTGCCGTCGCCGCGACACGACGCTCCCTCGGGACTCGGCAGCCCCGGGGGTGTGCGGGAGCGTGGGTGGGGACCCTTCCTCCGCAGGGCGGGGGAGTTACGGACCCAAACCACGCTGCGGGGAAACCGGCAGCAAAGGCTTCCCCAGCATCTGAAAAGATGCTCTATTTGGGAGAATCACAAGGGAAAGGGCACTGTAAGGCCCGGTGCTCAACAAGCACTTTTCCTGAATTTTAAAAAAGAGAGATTCTCAAATTTACGAGGCAACAAATCTGGGATGAAAAAAACCTTTTTGGGGAAAAAACCCCACGGTTAACCTATGGAACTCACTGGTGCAGTATTATGGAAACTGCTGCCCGAATGAGCTGCTGGAGGGATCCGACCTTCTCGGTGTAGGTAATGTGGCGGCAGCACATTAGGAACACCTGAGAGAGGGAAGGATGTGATTAGCATCAGTGGTTATGCCAGCTAAGCCAGAATTGCAAGAGCTGTCAATCCTCATGCCTGAAAGCATTAGCTGATCACCAGCTGGGTTAGGAAGAAATCTATTCCTTTGGGGTCTGTTTCTATAGACCTTTCAGATGCAAAATTCCTCCTTTTTTAATGGTGGGGTTGGCCTAGGAAGGTGCTGGCCAATTACGGGAGTTTTACAGCTTTGTCTGAGGCGCGCAGCATTGACCACTGCTGGAGACAGGCGAGCAGATTAGAGAGCCTGACTCCTTCGCTGCGGCAATTACTATGTTACTAATTGCTGAACCAAAATTAACCAAATAAAGTTAGAGTCTCGCAAGTCCGCGGAAAGAAATGACGTTGGCTAGGTCGCTATTTCGTGACGTTGGAGGCCGGCGGTGCCGTTCCCGGCAGCGGGCTGAGAGCAGATGACAAAAGATCAAAAGGCTGATACAGGAGGGGACCCTTGGGAAAGCAGGAGGCCCCTGATTCACTGCCAGGCTCCTGGGCAGGGACCTGGCATGCGTGAGCCGCTCTGGAAAGTCCTGCCTACGTGGCCACCACGATGTGATGGCCACGCGATGTCGGAGCGGCAGATTTGGCAGCCGAACCGTCGGCATCTCTCTGCGGATGCGCGGTGTGTTGCTGGTTCTCCCAGAGCACAGCGTGTGTGCTTAAGCGAGCGAGGCTGTCAGTATTTTTGGAGATGGCGTGTCAGGGACGTGCAGACGGAGGAAATATGTGCAGACGTGTTGAGTCTCGTGCGCTTGGAGTGGGAATTACTCATCCTGCCTCCTGCCCCCCCCCAGTGCCTCCCCATGTTGCGGCTGCACCGGTCCCCACTCCCCCAGCACCCCAGAGCGGGGTCCCCCCCGGCACCGTGCCATCCCTCAGCCCCTGCCCCCAGCTGCTCTCCCCCCCCGGCAGATGGGGTTTTAGGGGTTGGAGTTTAGGTAAATGGAGATGTCTGGTCTCCTGGGATGCTGCTGGCATGGGCTTGGGGTGACTGTGGCTCTGGTGGGGGATCAACACACACGGATGCGTGGGTTTGGGGTCACCGAGGCTCTGAAGGGGGATCAACGTACGTCACCCCAAACCCACACATCATCTGTGTGTATTGCAACAAGCTTGCAGGTGCAGGACCAGCCCGTGTGCCTCAGTGGAGTAATTTTTAGTTACACCCCTGATAGTTTTTAGCTACATCGCCAAATGTGACATAAGATGCCAGCCCTGTCTCTGGCTGCAAATGGCACGAGACATCTTTCTTCTACATAAGCACAAACAAGGGCGGCGCTCAGGCTTTGCTTCCTTCGCTTAGGTGTGCAACACCTTCCTTAGCATCTAGATGGAGGGATCTGCTCGCCAAGCGCGCCTGAAAAGGCACCGGTGACCGTCCATGTTGTTTCTGTAGACCAAGAACCTCTGGGAAGAGGCTGCTTGGTTGAGCTCCTAAACAGGGCTTTGCATCTAGTTCCCCGAATTTGAAACTGAAGCTTGTTTTTGCTTGTGCGCGCTGCTTCTGAGGGCTGGCACATCCCTCCAGAAGAGCGTAAGGCCGTGTTTACCTTGGCCAATACTTAACGCTCTTTTTGTCCTTTGCTCTCATAGCCCCCGGTACCCAGCCAGACCTCCTCCTACTCTTGCATGCTGCCCACCAGTCCATCGGTGAATGGACGGAGCTATGATACATACACCCCTCCTCACATGCAGACACACATGAACAGCCAGCCGATGGGCACCTCTGGCACCACTTCCACAGGTGAGTGGCCCCGCGCTCCCCCCGCTTTTCTGCCAGCGCGGCTTCCTTGCTCCGGCCGTCGGGTTTTCGCATGTGTTCGCTGGGAGAAGTCTCTCCCCATCGCCGGGAGAGGTCTTTCTGTCGGGTTTAGTAGCTGCCGAACCGTGCAGAAGATGAAAATGTATAACCTCGCGGGCTAGAGCAGAAAGTCTGATTTTTAAGCTGCTGCTGGAGGGATAGATGAAAGACAGCTGATTAGCAGAGGTGGCGTTTGAATTGTGGTACAGTGGAAAGCTCTTCACGAGGCCCTCATCCCGCAAAATCTTCCCTGTATAATTAATTTCTAAAGCAGCATTTATTTCACTGTTAAATTTCAGCAGAGATACACCTGTGAAGTTAAGTGTACGTGAAAGTGTTTGCGGGACTGGGTGTGTTTTTACCACGTCTGTGTCAGAGGCTATTTTTTGCTAAAGATTTGAAGTTATTGAAAAGGCAGGTAACCTGTAGAAATACTAACCTATGCATAAGAAGGCAAAACAGAGTAAAAAAGGGCAAGTGTCAGCATAAGCAGGAGCAAGCCAGACACATTTGTAAAGAATAGAAATGTTCAGTGTATTTTGGGCTGAATTCCCAACCGATACAAATGAGCCGAGGCTCTGGCATTTGTCTCAAAGCATGACAGTTTATTTATAACAACAAATCAGTGAGATGTGCATAGGTTTTTAAAATATACCCCCCACCCCCCACCCGATTCTGCAGGCTGCTAGATGGTGCGATTTAATACTTACTGGAATACAAGCACATATCTGTGAAACTGTAAAGCAAAAATTGTGATATGTATAGAAAAACTAAAATATCCATTTTCCCCCTCAATTTTCAGGTCTCATTTCCCCTGGAGTGTCAGTTCCAGTTCAAGTTCCTGGCAGTGAACCTGATATGTCTCAATACTGGCCAAGATTACAGTAAAACATGTGTTAATTCCGTAAATGACTATATGGACAACAGTTGGATGTTCAGCAGTATTTTATAAAGGAAGAATGGCTCTCAGAGTACTTCTGTACTGCAACTGTGCCCTATGCTGTAACACATGGAAAAGACTTTCACATGGACCTTTGTACACTGAAGGCATTATATCAGTTGGAACAAATCTTCATTTTGGTATCCAAACTTTTATTCATTTTGGTGTATTATTTGTAAATGGGCATTTGTATGTTATAATGAAAAAAAAAAAGAACAATGTAGACTGGATGGATGTTTGATCTGTGTTGGTCATGAAGTTGTTTAAAAAAAAAAAAGAAAAGGAAAAAAAAAAAGAAGCCATGATCAACAAGCTTTGCCACGAATTTAAGAGTTTTATCAAGATATATCGAATACTTCTACCAATCTGTTCATAGATTATGGATTGACGTTCCAAGTTTGTATCATTCCATTGCATATAATTAAACCTGGAACAATACGCACTAGATTTATGTAAGAAAAATATCTGTTGGTATTTCCAAAGGTTGTTAACGGCTGAAGCTATGTGCAAACAGGGGTTAAGAGAGAACTTCGATGAAGAAAAGAGTTTGATAGATAAAAGGTAGATTGTGTCTTCGATATAATCCAATTTGTTTTATGTCGAAATGTAAGTATTTGTCTTCCCTAGAAATCTCCCAGAATGATTTCTATAATAAAGTTAATTTCATTTATATTTGACAAGAATATTCTATAGATGTTTTATACACATTTTCATGCATCATACGTTTCTTTTTGGTCGGCAAGAGTTAATTGTTCTTAGATATAGTTGTACTACTGTTCACAGTCCAATCATTTTTGTGCATCTAGAATTCATTCCTAATCAATTAAAAGTGCTTGCAAGAGTTTTAAACTTAAGTGTTTTGAAGTTGTTCACAACTACATATCAAAATTAACCATTGTTGATTGTAAAAACCATGCCAAAGCCTTTGTATTTCCTTTATTATACTATTTTCTTTTTAACCTTATAGTGTGGTGTTGCAAATTTTGTTACTGTGCTAGGTTAATCTCATTAAGTTTTATTTTGAATTTATTTTCAGTTTTCAATAAGGAGGGATTCTTAAGAAACGTTTTTATAGACTTTCAGCCCTTCGACCAGCCTGTAATTTGGGCTAACAAAAAGAAGATAGGTTCACGTATCTAATTGCAGCTGAGAGCAGGAGGAGGTTGTTTATTTAGCTCGGATTTCTGGGGATGCTCTAAATGAACTCCAGAATCCAGCAGAATTTCCAGCGGGGAGTTTGCATCGTGCCAGTCAGTGGCGGAGACGCGATGCACGCCTGCGTCTATCTGTCGTAATTATACATAAAGTACGTATAGACACGTACACACAAATATACGTGCCTGACTTTTAAAAATTGTTTTTGTTAGGATGCTTAAAAAGAAAAAAAAACAGCTGTGTTTTTAACAGGCTCTTTGGGAGAGTGAATACCATCCCTTTATATTGCCACACAGCACAATCTTAGTGTAATTTTCCATTGAACTTGTAACCTGGTTAATACCTCAATGCGCTTTGTGTGAGGGTTGTTAGTGTGGGCGTGGGTGGAGAGCTGCATGTCAAGGAATAATGAGAGAAGACAAATCAACAGGCAACAACAATGTGAGCTGGGACTGGCTAGTGAAAGCTAAAGGCCTTTAGTCACTGGCAGGGAAATCTAAACATTCCCATATCTATGAAGCTGGCTCATTGTGGTGCAGTTGTTACTCGCGATGCTGTGCTGAAAAAGGGATCTCATGATTAAAAAGCCAATGCGCGGGGAGTTTTGAGTCAAAGCACAGGCATCACAAGCAGCCTTTGTAAAGCAAAGATACTATCTAGGCTGGTTATGTTTTCCTTTCGGCATATTTGTCACTGCAGATAACGCTTCACTGTAAACTCGGAGTAGCAGAGTTGTGGTGCTGAGGTAGTCGCAACGCTGCAGACGAGATTAAACGCACGTAAACTCCGAATCCTTTAGGGACAAAGAGCAGCTTTGCTCAAAGCACGAGACGCTAGTTAATAAAACCAAGAGCCCAAAGCAAGCAAAAATGTGCAAAAACATTAGATTAAAATCTTTCTTTTTAATTGATACTGGTCAGTTGTAACTATATTCATTATAGCAGCATTAAGTAGTTTTAATTACCTGGAAGCCATCCATTGGCAAATATGAATGAAACGTGGGTTTGTTTTTTTTTTTAATATATATTTTTATCAGACATGCACATGTGCGTTATATATGTATAGGATACGGATAGATCGCATTAAACACCACAATAGGCAGGCCCCTTCTCGCATAGCTAAATCGATTCTGGCAACAATTAATTACAGGTACAAACCCAGCATTTATATAGCCACTTAGCATGTTTATACCTACTAATGTAGTTTGTTATCTAAATGCCAACTTCTGCTCAAACAGAAATGGAAATGAGCTTCCCATCCCTTCCTCCCCCGAGAGCTTTTGTGCCGTGGTTGCCGTTTCTGCAGGTGCCGATACGCGGACAGAGGCAGCTCCCCGTAGCTCTTGCCTGCCCTTCCCGGGTTTTCCTGGCCTTGCAGCTCCACCGCCCGTGGTCCAGCCGCCGGTGGCCTCCATCGAGCCATCGCCAGCCCTCTACACCCCTTCCGAAGCCTTCTTCAGGGCAGGCCGTGCTGCGGGGCTGCAGCCTTCCGCAGCCCCGCACCTCTGCAGTCGCAGCAATGCTACAAAGCGGTTGCGTGCGCGGACGGACCTCGAGCTTATTTGGGTGACAGGCTAGCTAGCCGTGGCGGAGAGGAGACATTTCTGGCTTGCTGCTTCGTTATCGTGCCCTGTGGAAGGAGGTCGCCGGGGAAAAGTCCCTGGCCGGCTACGCGTCGGGAAGAAGTTAGGGCATTCGGTCCCCGGAGCGTTGCTTGCCTCGAAGAGCTGCCGCCGCGCGCGCCGGGGGCTCTGCGGGTTACGGGC